AATATAAAGCAAGCAATTTATTTTTTGATTATATACTGAATCTATCTAACTGTTTACAGAATTACTTCTGACTATATGCTAAATTTCTCTTAATCATATGCTGAATTGCATTAATAATTGACATCAGTCAGAATTAATTATTTTATAATTTATACAAATCAGATTGCTATATAAATTTTCATTAATTAGAACTATAACAATTTTAACAATTTTGTAATTTGATAATAATCAAATATATATCAGTTTAAATCAGGCATATGTATGATTTTTTTTATTTTAACTAGTGTTAATTAAAAACTTTTATTACTTAATTTATTTTAAAACACTTGTTAAAAAAAATTTTGTTAGAGCACTAAAGGTGGTTTTTTATGTTTGTTTTAAAATTTTCTGATTGTGTTATATTATATCTGATTTATAAAATCTTATTTATAATATATAATTCTGTGTTGCAATGATCAACAAAACCTGGCAAAGAATTTTTCATGCAAAAAATGTTTAAAATTGTTTTTTTCATCTTTAACTTAAGTGTTACATAATAGTTCTAGTTGAAAAGTTTTTAATAATTCATGTACTTATAGAAAAAAAAGGTAAAGAGCTTTGTTTTTACAGCTATTTTCAAAAGGTGTAATCAGGTGTAAACTATTATATTATAGAAAATCTACAAGATTTCCTTGATTTTCTTGATTTTTCTTTGAATTCCCTTATTTGTGTAATCAAAGAAATCAAGAAAATTAGAAAAATCATCTGGTTTTCCTATAATATAGTAGTTTACACATAGTAATTCTTTTGAAAATAGCTATAAGTAAATATTTGTGAATTATTGACCATTTTTTAACAAAATATACAAAAGTAAAAAATTAGACACTGATTTGTCTTACATGAAGTAACTGTGTTTAATTTTTTTCTTTTTCAATACTATATCTCAAATGTGGTTATTTAATTTGTAATAATAATATAAAATAATTTATTTAATAAATATAGTAACAAAAAATAATTCAAATTTTAAAGTTCATATATTTTTATAAAAAATATAAACTAATTTTTACATTTTATACATATTGTATGTAAAATTTAAATTTATTTTTATTATAGTCATCTCTCTATATAATCATCTTCTATATCATCACACCATATGTAATTACATTTATCTTTAGACCAAACTATAATTTATTTAAAAGAAAAAACCTCCATATAAGCACAACTTCTATATGTGCCCAATTATATAATTTTATGGGAGGATGACTATATCATATTTTTAATTAAAATGTTATATATGTTGTAAACAGCTACAAAATACTGTTCAAAACATAATGTATAATTACAAGACCTTGCAACACTAATACAAAGTTTTTTTGAAAATGGTACAGATACACCTAACATCTTGCTACTAAAAGGATTAATCCCAGAGGATATCCAGACCATCACTTCAACTCACAACAGAACATTTGTTAAAATCTTGCACAAGATATCAACTAACATATATAAACAAATATGGCTTGAATGCTGTAAAGGCATACATCAGAATAGACCCCTCACTGAAACATTTACTCCTATAACCTTGACTCACCCTTCTACACAGCATACTAGTACAAGTAAATATAATAAATGGAAGACTTTGTTCCCCACAACTAACATATCTTCATCGTATATAGCTAAACTAAATCTAGTGGAGGCCAGGTAGCCCACTCTAGTAGAGCTTTGGGCCGAGAATAAATTAGTCCTAGCTGTAGGTCCCTGTAATAATTCATATAATCCATTTAAATAATGTAATACATAATTATTCAATAAAGACTGAGGCCAGGCCTTACTCTTAAAATAAAAAAAAATAAAAAAAAAACTAAAAACTCAAAAACTACAAACTAAGCTACTATTGCTATTTATATAAGTATAATAATATAAAGTCTAATTAAGGTAATTTTGTGACTACATTAAAGCTTAGTATTGTTACAGGATTATTCTAATTAGACTTATATTGTTATATTCTATTTATGTAATTGTATAATTTATTTAAGTCTAATAATATATATATAAATAGAGATAGCAGCTGAATCATCCAGGATGGCCTCCAAAAATGCAGTGACATAGATTATGGTATATATACGTATTGCAGAATCGGTATTAGATTACAATCACTAAAAAATGATCAACAATATACAGCTAGAAGAGAGCCAATAAGTGGCACTAACTAATCTTACGTCACTGCATTTTTGGGGGCCGTCCTGGATGATTCTAAATCTTGGGTGTGCGAATACATATCTGAAGTTGCCCCTATTAGAAGTGCATGACGATCTGCAACTAGAATTACAAGCATGACGATCTAATTTCAGGCAACTAGAAATTATTAAGCATGACGATCTAATTTTAGGGGGCTTAATTCTAGTCAGGTGCTATTTCTGAAGTTACAAATCTGACAAATCGTTAACTTCGGAGACATATGTACAGCAAATAATGATTATTTCGAACATTGCAAAGTGAATTATGAAATTGAAGAACGAAAAAAAGAATACGAGTTGTGAAAATCCCAGTACTAGTTATCAATGTTTTCAATCATGCGATCCTAAATTATTATCTCAAAGTAGCAGTGGTAATGAAAAATTAGATAAAATAATTAAGCTTAGAGCAAAAAGATTCAATAGTTGTCATTTATCTTGAATAGATCCCTTATAATCAACTTGAAATTGATATAAAAAAAAAAGTGGTTTAGTAACTGTATACAGAGGTTACTTGTTGAACGGTTTCAAGAATATGGGGTGCTACATATTAAAAACAGCTCATTTTTAGATGTAAACGAAAATGGATCATCTTGATGCTTTATTTAAGTCTGCAAGTGCTTCTTTATGCTTAACATTGCCGCCACTTGTTCGCTCAATGGTAATTTCATTCATGATATTGTTGATTACGTACTGTGCTGTCTGTGCTCTGTGGAGGATTTACACTAGTTTATTTTGATCTTTGTACGTATTAAACCCGTTATTATTATTAGTAATGGTAATTATCTAATAATTCCAAAATGAACAGCTGATTAGCAGATTATAGCGTTAGCTTATCTGCTTGCTTGATTTGGTTAAAGTGCACATTAATTCTGGTTTAATCTGCCCTGGCAAGGGTTGATTCTGGCATATCTGCTTAACTATCCTTCCGATCTGTTGACCTGCCATTAACTCGAAAGTCAATTTACGTTTTACGAAACTTTTAAAAATAAAGATGACAGTAAAGCACTTGGAAAAACTTTCGACAGATTACCTTGAACTTCTTGATGATAATGAAGATTTTAACGTAATCATTAATGCAGGAGAACCGCCAAACACAAAAATATTCCGAGCACATTCGAATGTTTTAAGATATAGATCATTGTATTTTCGTGATAAATTGGCAAACACTAAAAAAGGTACAAATAACATAAAAAAAATTAATTTAAGACATGTTTCTATTCAACAATTTGAAATTATTATTAAGTAAGTTACTAAGTTATATAGTTTCAATAATATATGGATATGCATCAAAAAAAAAAACTAATCTTATAATCTAAATATATAAATTTATAGATATATTTACGGAGGGGTGGTTTTATTAGAAAATCAAGAGGCATCATTCATTTATGAATTCATGTTTGTTGCTTCAGAGCTTTTTCTAGAAGAATTAGCCAAACATTTTGAAATCCATTTAATTGAAACAAAAGCTAATTGGCTTCGTTTACATTTTACACGTATTTATCAAAAATGCTTCCAAAATAATCAGTTTCAAAATTTACAAAAATGGTGCAATGATCTCTTGATAAAGTATCCAAACAAGATTTTTGACTCCGAAGATTTTATATCACTTCAAGAAAATGCATTAGTCTCTCTTATTAAACGAGATGATTTACAAATGGAAGAAGGTAAAATTTGGAAATATATTATCAAATGGGGAATCGCACAAAATCCAGATTTATTATCTGGTGAACCTGAAAATTGGATTAGTGAAAATTTTTTGGCTTTAAAAGATACATTAAAGAATTGTTTACCTCATATACGTTATTTCCAAATATACGGAGATGACATTGTCGATAATGTAGAACCATATCAAACAATTTTAGAAAGAAATCTTTGGAAGGATATAATGAAAAGAGTTGTAAATCCAAATCGACAAATATCTTCAATTGTTCTTCCACCTCGAATAATTTTAACACCAAAATTACCAACACGTACGACTGACACATTTTCAACAATTATCACTGAGGAACATGCAGCCGAAATTGAAATACCTCGAATAATTTTAACACCAAAATTACCAACACGTACGACAGAACCATTTTCAACAGTTGTTACAGAGGAACATGCAGCCGAAATTGCAACATGGGTTGATAAGAAAGCTGAAACATATTCAATAGCAAATAATCCGTATAAGTTTAAACTATTACTTCGTGGAACCAGAGATGGATTTACTAAAGAAACATTTTGGGAAATATGTGATAAACAAGCAAATACTATTGTGGTAATGAAGGTTAAAAATACTGCCGAAATTATTGGTGGTTATAATCCTCTAAAATGGGATAAATCAATTGGCAGCCATGTAACTTGTAATGATAGCTTTATTTTTTCATTGAAAAATCGTACTATTCCTTCCTCTATTTTGAGTCGTGTAAAAATCCCACAACGTGCAATTTGTTGTAGTTCTTTGCGTGGCCCATGTTTTGGTGATCTTTTCATGTATAGTAATTTTAATCAAGATAGTGGATGTGATTATTATTCTTATATTTATGAAAAGGCAATTAGAAATGCAAAAAAGGTAGACAAACCTTTTTCAGTAACAGAATACGAAATATTCAAAATCAAACGAAAGTAAATAAATAAATGGGAGGCTCCACAGCAAAAGGTGGTGATGGGCTAAAAATTTTTTTTCTGTAGTTTTTTTGATATTGTGTTCTAAATAGTCTAATTTTTGCAAAAATGAAATTTTTACTAAAACATTTTTTTTGCTCATCACCACCTTTTGCTGTGGGCCCCTAAATATATTAATTAATGCATGAAATAAAGTCAAATATAATTAAATTTCAGAAATTATTGAGTTTTTAATTAATGGAATATAAAACAGTTCATACGCACTGTTGATATTTTTAATGCTTTAAATAATGATAATAATGATCTTAGATCTAATTATAGAGCAAAATATGAATATACATAGGAATCGACAACAGTAATAAACATGAGTTTCACAAATAAACTTGTAATCAGAAATATGTTGATTTAAATTATATTTCTGTTCTTAATGTATTTGTCGGATAAATACTATTCATATGACAAATTTATGCGATCACTCTTAACTTATTATTACAGCAGACATTAATAAAAATTTGACAACAATGGTGGTTTAAATAATCTAGCGTTGTTTATCAATAAACTCTTGACTTTCGACAATGTTCTTTTGCTTTGGAGTCTTTGAGAGATTATACCTTGCTCAATCTTGGCCCATGTATTATGGTGTTCGAAATAAATGATATATAAATTCTATTCTATGATAGCAAATATGTAGTGTATCTTCAAACCGAAAATTATATAACAAAACTTCATTTTCTGATTTTAAAAGTTAGAACCACAAATAAGAATTTTAAGTTCACACTTATTTTCTAAATTACCCTAACATTAGAAACCTGGTATTGGAATAAGTGACAAAATCAATAAAATGTATTATTAATTAGAGGTGCAGACATGCTGTCGTAATTAGGTCGTAACCTAATTACCTCAATAAAAATAATCTGTTTTAAAACGGGTCGTCTGCACCTCTATTATTAATCAATTGATTTACAATAGGTGTCACCCATTATGTTCGGTATTTAGTAAAATAGGACGGTACGATAGTATAAATATGTATAGACGTGTGCAAAATTCAGATAGTACGTACGTACGTTAAAAAGGAAAAAATTTCGTACTAGTACATACGAATTTTTTTTTTATATTTTAATACCGTTCGAATACATGAGTGACGCAAAAAAAAAAAGCAAAATTCTAGGCTTTTAAATATTGGATTCAACCCTTGAAAACATATATAATTGAGTCGTTAAATTATTAATTTACAAGGTCAATTTTTGTTTTTTCGTGGCATCGATATTGAGGGGTTTCAGAATTAACGTGCGGAAATCTAATTTTGACAGAAATGGATAATGTTAGGGATGGTAAAAAATCGCTTTTTAATGATTTTTATGTTTTTAACTTGATTTAATAAAATGTTTTAAAACATTATTGATTATGGCGCTGATGGATGAAGCTAAAATTACTGTATATAATTAGGTAATTTCAACTTCAGTGTCATGAATTTTTTATTCCTTAATCAAAATATGCCATCGGTTTGTGCTACAAAGATCAAAAAGTCAGAAGATTTGAATTTATAATCATGATCATAACTATATCATTATCATTAATCATGATATCAATATTGGTGACGATGTTTTAAAACATGTAAAAAATCACTTTAAAGCAATATCAAACTGATTTAAACATTCTGTTTTAAATCATTTGCCATTCCTAGATAATGAGGGGTTTCAGAATTAAAAAAAAAAACAGCATATTTCGAAAATAAGTAGGAGCTTAAAAAATCCTATTTGTATATGAAATCGGAAAATGAAATGGGAGTGTTTAGAGACTCCCATTTAACGAAATAGATAAACTTTCAACGACAAAAAATCATTGAGGGGTTTCAGAATTAACATGCGGAAATCTAATTTTGACAGCAATAGACAACGTATTTATTTTCAAATGAGCGATGTACTGATTTTATTTCATTTTCCGATAAATTTGTAATAATGATTTTTGTCGTTGAAAAGTTTATTTATTTCGTTAAATGGGAGTCTCTAAACACTCCCATTTCATTTTCTGATTTCAAAATTTTGATATACAAATAAGATTTTTTAAGCTCCTACTTATTTTCGAAATACGCTATTTTTTTAATTCTGAAACCCCTCATTGGTATCGATTTTAATTTTTTTCAGACATGTAGTGATAATAAAGTTTTAAATTATAATACTAGATATTTATTTAATTGCAATTACAAGTAACACAACATATTGAAATTAAGTGCAAAGACAATTCAAATTCACCACCCAAATCTTTTTCAGATCATGTAATATGTGCATCATTTTATCATATTCTAGCTTAAAAAATGAACAATGAAATGGTGCTTATTAGAATCATATCACATAATCTGAAATAAATTTAGGTGGTGAATTTTACCCGGTTGACAATTCTACATATTTATTATCAAATAAATTTAAACTATTTAAAATTTACAAACCCGAGCTTACGTTTAATTGCAGTTTTGTAATTCCATAGTCTCTGCCTTAGTGGCTTCTTTTCTAACTTTTTTAACATTCTAACAAAGCAGCCTTTTGTTCTTCCAATTCAATATCTATCTAACAATGAATCATTTTATTGTTATTTTGCACCATGGATATTCCTTGTGTATTATTTAAAAGTTGATGTTGATTCCACTTCAATTACTTCAATTTTATCCTAAAAACCAGTTTCACGACGCAATCTTTTATTATCATTATTGGTGGAGGAACTCATTCCTTTGATACATTAGCACTAGTAAACTTATGTCCTGTTGCTAAACAAAAAAAAATTAATATCGATGTATATCTTTAATAAATAAATAAATACAATCTTATTATACTATTTTAATTTCTTCAAACAATAATAATTTAACATAAAATCACTTCATATTCAGATTCTTTACTATATCAAAATACTCATACAAAACAAAAAAAACAAAAAAAAAAACAAAAATAATAATTTAATCAATTAACAATAAAAAAATGCTTCTCTAGACACAATATCAAAACCATAAAACCCTTTACACCTACTTACTTAAAGACTTCATTCCACACCTCAATCAAAACTTACCTTAGTTAAAATTTAAATAGAATAATATTACTATAATTTAAAGTATGTTAATCAAAATTACTTTTAACCCCACCACACTTTATTTTAATACAACTTTCTAATATACAAATATATATATATATATCATATTAATAACTCCCTTTAAACATCTCAAGTGCCTAGTTTAATAATCTTATAAATAAGTTTCACAGAAAATTTTTACATGTAACAATCACAGCATACAGATATTACGATATAAAGCTTTGATCTACTACTTAGAGATAGCAAATGCGCATTTTCTTCTATTGCTAATAGAAACGGGCTGAAATTGCGTAACATGTATGAAGATACAACATGTATGTAAGATGCATAAATTGGACTTATATTTGGATGACAATAAATCGCCTAAAATAAATTGCTTGTCTAGATAAAAGACCTGCTAAACAAAAGACCTGGTTAGAAATTTGATGTAATGGAGGAGACCACTTTGCTAAATGGTCTTGTTTTACCAACCGCGTGGAATATTGATAATAAATCACAGTTTATTAGCATAGATTCAAGTGCGCTTAAAGTGAGATATGCAGGTAAGACGTGCAATAAATTTTAATAAGAGAAATTTCTCAAAAGTATATAGTTAGTTAAAAAAATTTTTTTTAAAGGTCCTAATAATTATAAAGCTGTTGTAATTCAAGCCAATAATCCAATTCCTTCACAATGCGGATTATTTTACTTTGAAATTGAAATTATAAATGAAGGCAAAAATGGGTAATATTAAATAATTGTTTTATGTATTAAATCATTCTTATTATAAATTTTTATAATATTTTAATTCTATTTATTAATAGAATGATTGGAGTAGGATATTGTACAAAACAGAGTAATATAGGCGATTTCATGCCTGGTAATACCGGACTATTATTTATTTATTTTTTCATTATTACATATTAACGTAACAACGTAATATCTCTTAGGACAGGAGTATATGGAAGATAAAGAAAATAAGGAAAATAAATCATGGGGGTGTGCTTACCATGGTGACGATGATATTTTTTTTGCTCCAGAAGTGGCAAGCCATATGGACCAAAATATACTTGCTGGTGATACAATTGGATGTTATTTAAATCTTAGAAATGACGATAAGATGATATTTTATACTAAAAATGGTATAAATCTAGGTAATTAAGATTATTTTTAATATATATCGTTATTCTTAATCATTTAAAGTTAATTAATAAGGATCTGATATTTAATTATATTTCAAGGAATTGCATGTTATTTACCTAATGATTTAGATGATTTAAAAAACAATTTGTATCCTTGAATTGGACTAAGATCACAAGACGCGTTTGTCGAGGCGAATTTTGGGCATAAAAAGTTTAAATATTTAAGTAAATTTATTTAACATTAAATTTTGATGCATATTTATAATGTTCAATAACGGTAATATCTTTTTATGGATAGCAATGATTAATGATGATATTGGTAAAGAATTATGGGAGGCATGCTGGATCAATTCTAAAACCTTTGATCAGTACGTAGACGAATTAAAAAATAAACAAAATGATATATTTGCACTAATATCTCGAGGAAAAGCTTATTTAATCATAGGCAGATACAAAGAAGCATGTAAAGATTTAACTTGTTTAATTAGATCACTAATAGAAAAGGGAGAAGAAGATTTAACTGGTTTAATTAGATTGCTAACAGAAGAGAAAGAAGATTTAGCTGGCTTAATTAGATCACTAATAAAAAATGAAGAGTTAGCTGGTTTAATTAGAGTGCTGATAAAAGAGAATGATGATGCTAAAGGGGAAGAAAAAGATGAGGAATTGGACGAGGAAAAAAGAGAAGTGGAGGAAGATTTAATTAGATGGCGAATCAAAAAAGAAGATTCGGAATTAATTAGATTGCCAATAAAAGAGGAGGAGGATAATGATGAGGAAGATGATGATGAGAAAATGGAAGAGGAAGATGATAAGAAGAAAGAAGAAATGATAAAAAAATTGGAAAAATCAATTACCAACTTAATAAAATTAAAGAAATTATTAGAAATAGCATTAAGATGTCTAATTATATAATGAAAAGGTATGAAGAATCGATTGCCGACTTGAAAAACTTATTAAAAATTAAATCAGATGATGCATGGGCAAAAGAAGCTTGCAAATTAGTTAATGGATTGTAAGTATAATGCAGTCATAAAAATTAGTAT